CATGTAATCAAAACAGAGCTAAACTCTAAGCACTTATTTTCCTCATCTAAACTGATGTAGAGGAAGTGTGAGAAGCCCGCCCCCAATTTGCAGCAGCGTGACAACCCTGGAGGACTGGACTCTCACCAAAATGCATTTACAAACAGAAAGAAAATAAACTTATCTCAATATCACTTTACTTATCTCAAATAGTTCTTAAAAAGGCCTTTTACAAGGAATAAAACTAAATTCTATAATTAAATAAATACTCCTTCATCATGCCTGTCTGGCTCCAGTGTCTTACCTCCACCTCACAGGTGAAGTCGGTCCCGTCCAGTAGGGTCACATGACACACCACCAATTTCATCTTGGTCTTCCTCACAAGGCGAAGAGGAGACTGGAAAATGGAAGTCTGGCCTTCTTCTGCTCCTCCCTCCCCTTCACCTTGAACCTCGTCTTCCTGCTCCTTCTTATCCTCCTCTGCTCCTTCTGCCTCTGTTGTCTCCTTGGTCTCTTCGGGACTTTTCTCAGCACTCTCTTCCACCTTCTCTTCCTTGGCAGGCTGACAGAGTTTGAGGTGCAAGGAAAAAAAGGGGGTAAAAAATAATGTCAAACCTCAGAAGATCACAGGGTCTCCCACTGTGGCCGTTACATAAAAACTTCCAATATTCTTTAAAAAAGTCATAATTTGTTCACTAGCATGAAGGAAATCATCTAAAATCTCCAAAGTAAGAAAGAGAAAACACTGTTTTCTCTATCACTCTCTGTAATTCCCCTTCTAGTCTGCATTTGGTCTTAGGAACTACAGGCGTTTCTTTTGGCCTGATTAGTGAAATGTTGATGTCACTGGGTGGGCCTGGGTGGCTTAATGTGATCGCTGGATGGAACAGTTTATGTGTGTGCATGTGTATGAGGGAGAATGGCTTTGTGTGTGCGTGTGTTTCTCTCTCTCTTTCTCTCTTGGCTGAGCAGCAGTTTTAAACAGACCAGTGTGTCCTGCTGTGGAATGTCAGTGTATCTTTACACTGCTTGAGTGTTGTGAAAAATGGTATCCTAGTATCTACCTGACAACAGTTCATCCCTTTGTTTCTTATTTAATCTAAAAATGAGGAACTTTATAAAGTCTGTATCCAAAACAACGTGTGTTGGACTGACGTGGGAGGAAATTTGTTTAAGCAAAGTACTTTACACCTGCTTATGGCTGGGGGACCAGTTTGGTGGTGGTTTCACCACTGTGACACGCCATGCAATCCTCAAAGTATTGTATCCAACTGAATTTTGATGCAAATCCAATATGGAAAATTATGATGTTACAGTCTAGTCACACTTGACTCGGGATGGTCCAATCATTCTTTACACATTAATGCACAGTAGCAGTACAGTTACAGGCAATCAAAACTAATGCAGCATATGTTCACTGGTAGTGATGCTCCTCTTTTCACTCAATTGATTATCTTAAAGGAATAGCTCAACATTTTGGGAGACATCCTTGTTCTTTTTTTTGCCGATGTTTAAATGAGAAGATCAATAATGCTGCTGTGTATGCCAGACTATTCCTTGGCTGTGAGCAGTAACTCCCCATCTCAGCAGGTTGCCTGGCCAGCTCGCGGTGATCACAAGATGCCAGACCTGGCCAAGAAATAGTTCAGCACACAACTCTGCAAAAACACTACAGCTTGTTTTTATACTTTGGTTTTTATATGAATTAAACAAAGATATGTGGTGTATTTGGTGAGAGTGGTATTGATCTTCTTATCTCTCAGCAAAAAAGCAGATACATGTATTTCCCAAAATGTTGAACTATTGCTTTAAGGGTTGGGTGTTTTTCTATTGTGTGCCTAATTGGGTCCCCAACCCCTGGACCACATACTGGTACCAGACAAAACATCTGCTACCAGGCCGCAAGTAAACCATGTAATTCAGAAAAATGTACTTTCTGTTTGGTTTTGTTTTTATTTCTGCACTCTCTTGCTCCTTCACTGTCATTTTCTGACTCCGCCAAGGTTAATGTGCGTGTTGGGAGGATAAACAGAGATATCAGCCTGACAGACTGCAAGCAAACTAATGGGACACCACCTGTCTACGTTATCTCCCAGTGTGTGAACTAATGGGGTGTGGAGAGCAGTTACATGTGACAAGTACCTCAGTGTCTGCGCTGGCGTTGGAATGAGATTCTGCCTCTTTTTCCTGCACTTGCTCTGACTTGACTGCCTCCTTCTCTTCCACTTCCTCTGCGTGACCGTTCACTTCTGGGGCAGGGCCCTCCTCTTCCTGTGCCACCGGGCTAACGGCTTCCTCTGTGGGTGGGAACTCCTTGGTTGGAGAGGTCTTCATGGATCAGAAAAAAAAAAGACATTAAAAGTCTAACCTATATTCATTAATTAATTCCCAGTTATGATATAAAAATAAACATTATAATATAATCATTTAAGCAGGGTTTTCTATTCAGCCATTACAATATAATAACAGTGTGGATTTTTACTGTACCTGGCTTTGAGACTTCTGCTTCTTAAGCCATGTTGGCAGGTATCGAGATATTCCTTTTCCGTCTTTCCCCTCTTTCTCCTTCTCCTTTTCTTTCTCCTTCTCCTCTCCCTCTGCGTTCGCTACTTCCTGGGTTTCTTCTGTTACCTTCTCTGATTGGTCCGGCTGAGCAGCTGACTCTTCTGCTTTCTCCTTCACCTCTGTCTCAGAGCCTGCTTCTGTTGTCATGGTGACAGGTCAACCTGCAGAGAAAGGAGAGTGATGGAGGAACATTAGATTAGATTTTAAAAAGTATCACACATTGACAACATTAATCCAAACCATTTTTACGATGAATGTTGTATATATATATATATATATACACACATTTTATTTAGGTTTATTTAATTGGATCACCATCGTTGAGCTTATTCCAAAACACTGAAAATGATATTCTGCTATATCCATAACTTTAATAAGAATGCAAATTTGTTGTGGCTGTTAATATATGACAGAGAGCTGGAAAAGGATTGCCCCACAGATTTTGGCACCAACATAAATTTTTCATGGCATGGCATGCAACTCCAGATTTTAGTCTGGAGTATCTTTTATGAATAAGCCATGTGGTCCCATAGTTTCTAGTTTTGAGTGCAATCAATGTTTTCTTCACAATATGAGATGAACCAAATGGTAAACAAAAAAAAATCTGGATATCAATAACTATAAACCTATGAGGTGCCTCATCATGAAAGCAATAAAAAAAAACCAAAATTAAATATATTAAGCTAAAATATATTTGTTGATCTCGGTCCTTTACCTCGCAGCCGTTAGCACATGAGCTCATAGCTGTTTGAAACATTAGCTTTTGGGTTGGTCTGTCCCTTTTACCCAAGTACACAAAAGAGAAAACAGTGTAAGATGTCATTATGTCACATGGTGAGCTTCATCTGGGACAACAGCTCAACAGCTGGTTACACGCACATTTGTGCACACACATAGACACACAGCGTAAGAAGGCGAACTTGTCAATTCTTAATATCTGAGTCATTGGTTTTACCCTGCAGCTGTGGTCAACACACACACACACACACACACACACACACACACACACACACACACACACACTTCAACCCAAATATCTTTGGCAGCACTGTCCGCACACACCCAATCAAAGCAACAGACATAGTAATTCAGCATGACACTAATTTGCTGATTACATTAGACGACCATTGGTCTTGAGGGCAAGGTGGGGTCAGGATCTGCATTGTTACCGACTACGGGTGTCTACCTGTTTTGGTGTGTGTGTGTGTGTGTGTGTGTGTGTGTGTGTGTGTGTGTGTGTGTGTGTGTGTGTGTGTGTGTGTGTGTGTGTGTGTATGATTCATACACTATTAAGTCATTGTCATCCACTGGCCTTTCAACTGTTGTACTCAATGTTTCTAACTGTGTTTTTCTCCATCACCCACACTATGTCTCTCTGACCTTCTCTGTCCGATTCTATTATTTGTTATGTCGTCTACATTTTACTTTCTGACCATCTTACCAGTAATCTGACTCTCTCTTTTCTGCCCTGTCACCTTCAATAAGAGACGACATACGCGCACGCACACACACGCACACACACACACACACGCACGCACACATCCACAGTGCAGCAGTGGTGTGCTGGGAGGGGGGTGGGGGTAAAAATAGAACAGGTCTCCTTACGCATGATAGGCTAATGAGGTAGGGAGGGGAGGAGGAGAGATGGCTAGAGAGAGGTGTGTGTCTTAGTGTGTGCAAATGTCAGAGAGGCAATACATGCACTTGTGTAAGAGAAGACAAAAGACAAATACCACTGACTTATCTCATACAAAGAGGGAATCCTGGTGACATTACACCACAATATTACAAGAACAGAGCTATTGTTATTCCAAATCTTCTTTTTGTCCATGAAAACACCAAAACCACCAATGTATTTTGTCTGTGTCTTAACAATTCCTGACTTATGGCTTGTATCTAAACTGGGAATCAAACTGTTGTTCCAACATGGGGGAAAAGCTATTTCCTTAAAAATAACAAGGTCAATGCATGGATGCAAATGGTCAGTGTCATTTAAAGGAGGCGTGACAGGTGAAGCTGGGTTTAGTTAGTAATCAACATACAGTATATTCGCAGTCAGGTCTCCGATGAATTCATCCACACTGAACCACTATGGCACTGACCAAAGTGTAGCTGTGTAACGAGCAGGCAAGATGACATTGTTACATAGGGTTTTAAATTTGGTCCAGATGAATTTTAAATCAACATATTTTGTCCCTGTGTGTGAAGCTTTAGATTGAGCCATCTATACAGCTCTGTTACTACCTACTAACTGCAGATCCCACTCTTCTGAGACACTGTGTTTCTCAATAGACTAGCTAGCTGTGTGTGTGTGTGTGTGTGTGTGTGTGTGTGTGTGTGTGTGTGTGTGTGTGTGTGTGTGTGTGTGTGTGTGTGTTGGCATCACTGGGTAGCTTTTTGCAAGATGTTCGTCACGGCCACTTTGGCCTGCTTTACACTGGCCCCTTCTCTCTACAACTGTTTAACACCGAGAACCTTGTTCTACCTCTCTCACAACTATCTAACTCTCCCTCTTTCTCTCTCTCTTTCTCCATCTCTTTCTATCTATCTCTGCTACTCTCCAACCCAGGGTGCCTCTTTTGCTTTTTCACTAAATCTCTGCACTCATCTCTCTCCTCTCTCAATCCCTTTCTTCCGGGCCCCCTTTCAATCCCCTCCAATCGCCCACTCGCATTATCTCCCCCTGAAGCCCCTCCTCTTTCCCTCTTCTTCCCACAGTCCATATAAACAATAGCAGTGGCATTATTATAGCCTCTCTTCATATATACTCATATGTATACACTGAACAGTTTATGGCAGGAAAACCATCTGTATAGCATCTCATATACAGTAAGTCAGTGTTAGGAAACTGGCAGTCATCACACTCAAGTATTCCTGTATGTGACTTAGCTAGAACTGCGACAGCAGTTTCATGTGACTGGGGTCAAACATGGGTTAAACGCCAGACATAGTCATAAACTCACCTCCTGTATGAAAAGAGTTGAACTAATATCAGATGTTATGTGTTTTGTTGCTCCATTAAGTGTCAAGAATTTGTCTAGAGGAAAGTCCTGTACTACTCCAGTGTTATGTTTTATCCGACTATTCCGTAGTCAATTAGTAGCGATCAAGTAACCCCGTCTTCCAAGTAAGCAAGAGAGAAAAGCCTGCAGACACACAGATAGTCTTGCCAGTTGAATTAGATGAGGTATTTGTATCACTAATACTAACTTAGCTCATTTCCTCATCTTATCACTATCTATATATTTACATATCTACAAGCAATTGCCACTGAAAGCAGCTTTATCAACATTTATTTTAGCTCTAATCTTATTTCTTATTTTTTAATCTTAATTCCTTGAGCCAACTCATCTATTTAATATAGTCTGCTTTCAGTGAGTGGATGTTGCACAAGACTGTCACACCAATAGATAAATACCAAAGATGAAAAATGTACCTTTTACAGCACTTAATGAGCTTTATTAGACCTTTAAAGCTTTACTGAACTAACATTTACTGCTGTACTCCACAAGACAGCAGCTCTCAAGCAATTACATGTTACACCTGGCCTTTTTTATTTAAAATGAATGGTTGAATGAATGAATGAACCGATGAATACAACTAATGGCCTTACCTATTGTTGTTTCTGTTGCTCCTCCCCTGTAACTCCTTTCCTTTTGCCACTTCCCTTCACTTCTCCTCACCTCCTTTTTTCTTTCTGTTTGTTCTCACTTTCTTTTTGCTCTTCTTTCTCCACCTTTCTTAACTTCTGTCTATAGCTTTCTGGTTGTGTTCCTTTCCTTCACTTTTGCTTCCCACCTCCTAGCAAACGCCTGTCCTACAAACTGTCATTGCCATTTTCTCTCCTCCTCCATCCTCTCCCGTCTCCCTCAGAGCTCTGCTTCCCCTGGGACAATTGCTCACAGAAACAAGGGCAGAAAACGAGAGAGAACAGAGAGGGGTTGGGGGAGCGGAGAATGCCGAAGAAGTGTGTGTGAGAGCGAAGAGCGAGGCGAGAGAGATGGAGAGGTGGAAGATGAAGGAGAGAGATAGAGACCCCACCCACTGCGCATGCCTACTGTGCCAGATACCTAATGGATATGTACATAGCACAGAAATGGAAATAACACTTTCTCAGCTGTTCTTTTCATGTCCATTCATTTTTCACTACATCCAAAGGAAGCTAGTGTGGGAATCGCTCCTCTTTCAACTTCTTACTTTCAATCAGTCCACAATCTTAACTTCATTCCCTCAGAATATTTATCAGAAACAGTTCTTTCTCTCCAACACACTTCATCTATCTTAAACAATCACTTCTAACTGAAACATAAGTCTTATTTTCCTGTTCTCAATCCCTCAGAGAATCTTCATAATGCTAAGCTATTACATCATTACTACATGTTCTTGGCCTGCAAAACTTAACAACTCAATTTTACATCCTCCAAGGAAGAAAAAATAAATAAGAAGTTACATAGATTACATCTCGGACAAGAGGTGCGTTTCCATCCGGCTGTTTTTATGCACATTTTCAATTTGTGAAAAAAATAAAACACTTGGATGGAAAATTTAAAAATATATATATTTTTTACACAGTTGGAAGAGGTGGAAAAGTTGGTGTATCAATAAAAGGTGAATGCATCTAAGTGAAAGCAGATTCAGCAAATGAATGAAGGCATACAGAAATCACTTGGCTTAAATGTCACTCTTTTGTCACGCTTTTCGCTCCAGGAGAAGAAAAATGGCGGCAGATGAAAACATTATGCATGTGTGCACCGATGAGGAGACTGCAATGTTCAGTGATTTAATACCCGCATAAAAAAAAAAAACATCTTTTTTTTTTTTTTTTTAAATCATGGCAAAAAATCCCTGTGGCAGAAATAATTCTGACACTTATATAGACTTTTACTGACTAGATTCCCCATATGAGAACATATCCTCTTTGGCACAATTAGTGTTTGCTGTTTCTACCCCTCACACTATCACAAACACCATACTGCAGCTGCATGAATCAAGCAAACACACACGACGGCTCCTCCGCTTACAACTTTACTGCTGCCTGACTGGGCTTTAGGGTTCATCGTCATAGCAACAACAACTTCATGACCTGGACTGTTGCCAAGAGATAAAATTTTATGAGAGACAGACACAGTATTGAGTACAGAAGGAAGAAAAAGACAGAACA